GCCCCTCGTCACCGCGTCCGAGATGAACGAAGGACGTCTCCATCCATCCGACACCCACCTGGGCGCTTGGCAACCCCTTATTTTCCTTTCCTCATCTTCCACCTCGCTTTTGAAATTGCCTGTGATTCCTCATCCACAGGACACCCACCACCCGCTAACGCTGCGAGACATTGCAAGCCCAAAGAGATAAAGTCCAGCAAAGTTTCGGGCTTAATATCGCAGGTTTCAGGCAATCTCATTACAGTTTTTGCTATCGCTTCTGCTAACGAAGCCGGTTCCTGCGGGTGCACCTGATGCCGACCGGCCAGAGCATCTTGCCCCAGCAGCCCCGCTTGCTTCCTCGCCTCTCCCAGAGGCTTCTTCTCCAGTGCCGGTGCTGCAAACCCCCCCGGCGCCTTTCTGAAGCCCCGCTGGAAACGCGCTGGCCAAATCCTGCACCCAGGGCCAAGGGTACAGAGGCTGGGCAGGGCCTCCGTGCGTGCCGGAGCCATGGGGAAGCTGGTGGTCCCAGCAACTGGGAAAAGCATCTCGGCTGGCGAGCCCGTCGCCGGCACGGGGATGGCGGGATGATACGGCCGCCCACCATGCAGGGGCTTTGCGGTGCTTTCGCGCAGCAGGGCTGACCTGCAGGCAGTTAGGCTGAGCCTTAAAGGAAAAATATGCCTTTTTCTGCCTTAAAATTGCAGCCTGGGTTTGCCTGGAGTATGTCCCGTCACCGCTGCGGGCAGCTCCTTGCCTGAGCCCGGCGTCCTCCTGCGTCCCTGCCTGCGTAAAGCTGGGGAAACCCGCGGGTGCGTGCTGCACAGACCTGCTCCCCCTGCTAAATGTGCAGCGACAAAATGCCACCCCCCCCATCAGAACTCGCAGGGTCCCAGATAATGATCATAATTATGTATAATTATGTCACTTTATAATAATCGCCTTACCTGTAAGGGGAGGCAGGGTCTCCCCTTCCCCAGCCCGTCTCCCTCGGGTACTGTGGCTTTGCCGGCGAGAGGAAGATTTTAGGGAATCTCAAACTGCAAACCTTGGAAGCACAAGGAGAAGCAGCAGCAGGCACCCAGGAGCAGGGATGCTCCCAGGCCGGCCGTGCCGGGAACCGCACGGACACAGCTCCCGTGCACGGCTGGAGCGTTGCGGTGTCCCGACGTGGATTTCTCTTCCTTGCATCATCCCTAAAAAAAACAAACAAACAAAAAAAACCCCAAAAATCCCATGAGAACGGGATGTCTTCAGGGCTGCTTTAATTCCTCATCAAAATAATGGTATGAAATATTAATAATGTAAAGTAATAATGATGTAAAGTAATTCAGCCGAGGAGCTGCGGTACCTTGGGCCGCGTAACCCAACAAGGAGGAGACGTGTTGGGGCACCGAGATGATCCCAGCAGGACGCGTCCCGGCCAGGCTGGGCACTGGGATAAATAGGAAAACCTGTCTCCGAGGGCATTAAGAAATGAAGGGAATAATCGCTTTATCCTCTTCCAGCTTCATTTTCCTGCCTCCCCTTCCCCAGGCCCTTCTAATGGCAGCTGGCCCAACTTCACCGCAAGCCAGAGCCACCTCCCAAGGGAGAACTTCACCTTCCTGGCGTACTACCAGCATTCCTCCCCCGTGGCTGCCATGTTCATCCTGGCCTACACCTTCATCTTCCTCATGTGCATGATCGGCAACATCCTGGTGTGCTTCATCGTGGTGAAGAACCGCCAGATGCGGACGGTCACCAACATGTTCATCCTCAACCTGGCCATCAGCGACCTGCTGGTGGGCATCTTCTGCATGCCCACCACCTTGGTGGACAACCTCATCACGGGTGAGCGGGGCCGGGGGGAGGAGAGAAATTGGTGGGGAAGGAACATCACCCACCTTCTGTCCCCCAACACGAGGCTACCCCCAAATCTCCTGCCCGTGGGTGCTTTTTTTTTTTTTTTGCTGAGGATGAGGAGGGCACAGGGGGGCCACTCAACCACATCTGATGAAAGGGAATCATTTCCTTTAGACCTACTATTTTAGGGGGAAAAGTCCTTTAAGGTTTTGGACATTTTTTGGCAAAGTATGACCTTAACGCTGCATTTACGTATTTATTTAAAGTTCCGCTCTTCTCCATCAAGCAGCACTGAAAAAAACCCCTCTCCTTGCATCGATCTTCTCCCTGTGCTCTCTCAGCTCTGCCCGTTGACCTTTCCAAAGATAAAGCTTGGCATTGGCGGGGTGGGGGGGATTTAGCCCGGGCACGGGGGAGAGGCTGTACTTATTTACTACAGGGTGCAATTTATTTATTGCCAACGCCTTAGCGGAGGTCAAGAAACAAGACGAAAGCTCTTCTGATCGAGGATCCCAAGGTCAGCCCCCATAGTAACAGCTAGAGCCCTACGTAAGGGTAGGAGAAATGAGAACCACTGGGCTCCTTGAGTTTCTAAGAAGTGTAAATACGCGTCTTTTTTTACCAATTTGGGGGTTTTTCTCCAAGCATCTGTACTGCTAAAGGCCATCTCTGTATGAGCCAAAAATGCAGCCCCCTCTTAGGAGCAGGGTTTAGCATCCCGTAGCAACAACACGGTGGATGGGGACATCTAGAGAGAGTTGACAACAGACCTGGCCAAGCCAAAGGCACCGACAACCTCCACGGTGTCCCCTCGCAGGTTGGCCCTTTGACAACGCCATGTGCAAAATGAGCGGCCTGGTGCAGGGCATGTCCGTCTCTGCCTCAGTCTTCACGCTCGTGGCCATCGCCGTGGAGAGGTACGTTGGTGCGGGGATGCGGGGACGTGGGGACCAAGCCACCCTCGGTGTGTTCAGGGTGTCCCATGTGGATTCCATCACGGGAAAGCTCCTGGGGACGTCAGGAGCGTGGCCCAGCTCTCCAGGAAGACCACAAAGGTGGCCATGGGGCATCCCAGCAAGGTCTCCTTCCCCACCGTGGGCTGTAAAAACCAAAGCTGGAGAGATCCCAACCTATCTCTGCCACCAAAAGCCATATGAAAAGAGCAACCCACCTTACCCTGCCTTCCCAGCCCTGGCTCCTGGCCACCCTCCTTCCCCAGGGACCTCCCATCAGGTGCCCAAGGCCACCACTGTCCGCCCTCCTGCAGGTTTCGCTGCATCGTCCACCCCTTCCGGCAGAAGCTGACGCTGAGGAAAGCCCTGGTGACTATCGCCATCATCTGGGTGCTGGCCCTGGTCATCATGTGCCCTGCCGCCATCACCCTGACCGTCACCAGGGAGGAGCACCATTTCATGGTGGACACCTACAACAACTCCTACCCTCTCTACTCCTGTTGGGAGGCCTGGCCTGAGACGGGGATGAGGAGGATCTACACCACCGTCCTCTTCTCCCACATCTACGTGGCCCCCCTCGCCCTCATCGTCGTCATGTACGCCTGCATCGCCTTCAAGCTCTTCAAGTCGACGGCGCCCGCCCCCCGCCGGCAGCCGAGAGGAGCCGGAGGGGAGGAGGGTCTCGCAGAGGAAGGCCAAGGTCATCAACATGCTCGTCATCGTCGCCCTCTTCTTCACCCTCTCCTGGCTGCCCCTCTGGACGCTGATGCTGCTGACGGACTACGGGCGGCTGAGCGAGGGCCAGCTCCGCCTGGTCACCGTCTACGTCTTCCCCTTCGCCCACTGGCTGGCCTTCTTCAACAGCAGCGCCAACCCCATCATCTACGG